CCTGTGATGGACTGGCATCCCGTCCAGGGTGTCCCCCCTGCCTCGTGCCCTGTGATGGACTGGCATCCCGTCCAGGGTGTCCCCCCTGCCTCGTGTCCTTTGCTTCTTGGTATAGACTCCACATGAAACCCTGTAATGTACAACATTGTAATATGAATTAATTAAATTCTATAATTTGTACTTAGTAAAACCTACAATGTTTAAAATGTGAGGTGATCCTGAGCGCTACTCTTGAAGTAACTGCCCAGGCTGGGGAATTTTGCTTCATCTTCAAGAAAGCAGTCCTGTCAGTTATCTGTCTCCCACCCAGGTGTAGCTGACCAAGAGGCCCTGGAGGTGGAGCACCAACGCCGAAGGCAGAACCTTCTCCCCAGTGCTCCCTCTGTCCCCCGCTACCTGAGGCCTGCGCCACAGGGAGGCCCAGAGGAAGAGGAGGACCGTGGCTCCCCCAGCCTGGGCCAGGCCAGAGGTGGGTCCCTCAGTCCAGCCTTCACTCCTGGGGCCACGTCTCTGGGGGGCGGGGGGTAATGTCAAAGCTAAAAGCTTTACAGCTTCCTTAGACACTGCATCCCATTTTTCTCCCATTTTCCATATCATTCAGGCTGAGACTTTTGACTGCAATTATACAGAAGAAAAGAAACTCAACTTTCCTAGCTCAATGCACCTTCTGTAGACTGTCCGATTGATACGACTGGCCTAGTATTACACAATAGGGGGGGGGGTCATATTCGGTGGGGGTAGTGTGGTAGGTTCATCATCCGTAAAACAAGCCTGAGATATGTACGATAAAAGGTAATGCTACATTGTATGATAGTCACATGTAAAGAATGAATTGCACTTTATAGCTGGGTTTAACCATCACCTCTACCCGCCCCCCCTATTGTGTAGTGGAAGCAATTAGCTCAAGCAAATAGGCAGACATTAGACCAGTCCAGACAAGATGAATCACCTGGTTGTAGGCTATTGAGTGCACCAGAGACTAAGTACTTTGAGCCACAGGTTTCTGTAGATTATTTGTAAGTGATGTTTGAGAGGGAAGTTCACTGCAGCCTGGCTGGGCGACTCTGCCCGCGTATTAATAGTGCATTTACCAGTTATGTGTCTCTACTCAGGTCACGTGGACACTAAGCGGAGGAAATCATGGCTGAGGGAAGAAGGCAAGAAGAAGAAGGCGCCGAAGCTGGTCCACCGAATAGGCGGCTGGCTTTAGGGATGTGTCACCTCGAAGGGGGGGGGGGGGCGTTAAACAAAGCCCAGTGTCACTGTTTTTAGGATCTTTAGCCTTACTGAGACATCGCTTTACTCTCTTAACTCAGTGCAGTTTTGCCATAAGGAAGTCAGTAGCCTTCACTTTCCCATTGGTTCACCTGGGTCCACAGCAATGTCCACTAGTTGCAGAAATGCCAAATCTGTCCCACCACGACCAAGCCAGTCATCAGTTCTGATGGATCTGGTCAGCGGCACTACAGCTTGACATCCCTGAGCAGAGCTTAAAAAGGGCTGCCAACTTTGGTCAGCTGGCTGGAATGAGATTTTAATTTCGAGACAAGTCTGCACATGCATTTACATGTATGTGACAGGTTTATTACCTTGTAAATAGTCTGTAGGGTTTGCAAACTGCCCCAGTGTTTTTGATGTAGCTAATTTCAGGTTTATAATGGAATAATATAGATTTGCTGTAAGATTTTGTGTGCGAGCATGAGAATCTGAAAGTGTGTCACCCCTGATGCGTGACAGCTGGCAACCCTGGCAACTCAGAATGCACAAATCGACTCGCTTGCATGGATGAAACTAAAGGACAGTAGGACACAAAAACATTCAATTGCTGTTGACTTTGTTCCGTTTTTTTTTTTTTTTTTTTTTTTTTAAATGACATCATTGTCGGCCTGTGACTCCACCTCCATTCAGCCTCCATCCTCACACCATTTTATGTAATTTCCCACAATGCATTAGATAGGGGGAAAAGGATTCTGGGATAACTGCTGCAAATTTGATTTGGTGGGGAAGTTGCAAGATGTGCAAGGTAGGCAGCAGGCCCATAGACAAAAAAATTGTAGGGGGTTGGGCAATCCTACCGATAGGTCCCTTTCAGTAGGATTGCCAACTAGGGTTGTGTTCAAACTCGTTATTTTAATACCTGGTTATGTGCTGGTAGGCAGACAGGTAGTCACTGGTAATTCTGGGCGAGGGAAAAGACAAGATTGGCATTTCTCACGATTCAACATGCATTTACGGCGAGAGTCTCCAAGCTGTTCTGTAGCATCCACATGCAAGGGTGAATGCAATCTCTGTGTGAAAACGCTTCATTATAAAAGTCATTATGTCTAAAGGCACCTCTGACGTGACAATATGCATTGTGAGGTTGGTCTCAGCTTCCCAGCAGACTTGCGACTGTACTTAATTAATCGGCATGATTGCACTAAATATCATGCTGAAACACCGGAACCCAGTCTATAACAAACCTATATTTAGGCAATTTACTGCGCTGGATAAAATATGGATGTTTGTTCGTACCCTAGAGAGCTTCGAGTACCACGTGGTGATTTTCCTCTCTTGACCTTTTTAATGCAGAATTGCTTCCTTCGGCCTCTGTAGTGCGAAAGCATTAACACTTGCATGCATAACAGGTTCAGAGTCTCTCCTGCTTTTCATTAAAACTCACACAGTGCGAAAAGGTGGGGTAAACTTAGTACCCTTTCATAACCATTGTAACGTGGTTTACTTTTGTGATGATTTGTTGTATGAAAACATATTATCTATACGAATCGTAGATAAATGTGAATGAATACAGTCGTTTTCTATATAAAAGGTGCCAATAAAGCTAAAATTAGAATAAAATGCGTTGTTTGTTTTCCTTATTTAGTATAGCTAAATTAAATCATTTGTAGTTGGATCTCAAACGCGGAATTAAAGTCGATTTAATTGCCATATTTCCCATTTATTCGGATCTGACTTCTGAAACAATTTATATGTAATTACCGCGTAATACACTCAAAGTGGACTTTTTTATTTTGCATTAGCTTGGATCGAAATGAGGCGAAATGCCAAATTAATTCTATTTTGCCCGCACACCTTAATAAAGTTTCGAGAAGAGCACCCCAAGCGCATGTAGCTTAAAACTGTGACATTTGCCATTTATTTAAAAACGGTACGTTGTATAATTCATACGGTTTAAAGCGTGTAGGAGAGCCAGGCTGTAATTTGACTCGAGATTTCTGGGTGCGGGTCTCTGAGGCTTTAATTAAACGAGCCCATCTGAGAACGTCAGATAAACTCAAGATCTCGGTAGCCGTTTATGCATTTTACTCTTTGCGGTTAAAACTCATATTTCCACATTATATAATGAAGATGTAGTATATAGCTATTGGGCCCTGAACCTCCATCGCAAGAACGAAGCAATAAAGCATAAAGCCGAAGACCCCGCGGAACCTCATACAAGTGTATAGCGGACATGTATCTTCCAACATTCTTACTTATATGCTTTTTTTTGCTGTTAGACGTCCGTAAAACGGTCAAACCAACAAATGTAACATATCTTAGTCAAAAACTTTATATAAAACTAATATAAATGTTGCACGTAGAAAAGAGGGCACTACTGGTTATTTAATTGATTTTTTCGTCGTATTCAGGCAACACTCCTTAATTTATCAGCTTTTACGGGACAACTGTTTCACTGATGTGTGCATTGTTTTGCAACACACTTTGTAAAAATGTGTGTGTGTAGAAATCCTGCATGAAGTGTTTTAATTACATTCTTCACTTCCGATTGCCCCTGGTGATACGCCCCCCCCCCCTGGCGCACCCCGGCTTCACGCCCGTCATGGGCACAGCCCATTAAGCGGCTGGATGGGTAAATGAGTTCATAACCAGGCCCCCCCAGTCTGAAGGGCTTCGGAGTTTTTTTTTTTTTATCTCTGACGGCTCTGTCTCCCCGGGGCTCCGTCTGAAGTGGTTTAAAGACGCGCTAAGTCCGGCCATAGTGCTGAAAATCCGAAGCACTGGACCCCGATCACAATGTTCTTTAAAATATAGGCTAGTCTGTCAGGCTGCTAAAAAGTTTTCGAGCACCCAACTGACCTGATAGGCTATTTTAGTGCCTTTTGGAAAAGGTGTGTTGGTAAAACCACAGTAGTAGGATCTTTAGTAATGAGTAAGTGTTTGGTTGTGCTTTGAAAAACCAGTAGGCCTATTAACGTTTCATAAACTACATGCACCATTTGTATAAGAGTTAAACCGGTGAGGGAGGAGGTTCCGCAGCATTGAGATTTTTGCGGGTTTCATTTTACCCTGCCCCCCCCCCCCCAAGGGATGCTAACGCTAGGTGGCGCCATACATCAACGCTGCGTTAATCAGCGATCGGACAGACAGCCGTGCAGGAAGAGGCGTATTAATCTGGTTCAGTGGTCGATCTGTCTATCAGCCGCTAATGAGATCTTAAGTGAGGCGCATTAAACGTAAACTTGCTATCGTCTTTGATGGAGTGGAGCTTTTGTTCAGTCGCCGAATTGCCATGGGGTGACCCGGATTAGAGTGCCATTCAAAAGGCTTGTTTTGACCTGATGTGCAAATGATGTGTTTTAAATAATTACTAGTTTCAGTAATAAACGATGTTCAAATACTAAAATGTGTTAATGTGTCAATTCCTGTACTTCTGACAAACACGCATGAAGAATATTTTGTCCTTTTTTATTCTCCGCCCTCGTTCATAATTCACTTCAGGTATAATTGTGAGTCGAATTAAATTTCTTAATCGAAAGTAGACCGTCATATTATTAAGATTAATCGTGCTATTTGTATTTTTGATGAACCCCTTTTTGGTACATGATAAATATGGTAGCCTGTCTGAACCCAAGTCTCTGATCTGGTGTTCGCCTGATCTTAAGCGGTGTGCTGCCGGCAGCCTGGACCCGCCTGCATAATTTACTACAGGGTTTTGTGAATCCAGAATGAAGGCTTGGCATCGCCTTTTGGCCGCTTTGCTGAGACAATAATAAGACATACATGAAACTCAGACTTAGTGGGAGCCAACTGCGATGTGGTTTGAGGTGGACTGAGGTGGGCAGGTGGGTAATAAATCAGAAATATCCATCTAAATGCATGAGCGCAGACCTCCCCCGCTATGAAGAATAATGTAATACTGCTAATTGGGAACAAGTCATGTCCGCTGTCCGGATTTTTCGGAAATAATACCAAAAACTCAATAATTCGCCTAATTTCGTTTTTGTCATACTGGGTCTCCTGTAAATGTCTGCCCCTGAGTAGCGATTGCTGGGCACCGATTGTTCATAACCTTCCTGTGTGTTGCGTCTATTTGTAATGCTTCCCCACTGCTGCCATTTTGCACTCCTGAGGCTGTATAGTTGTGTGTGTGCGTGTGTACTCATGCCATGTATGAATCTGCACAATATTCTAGCTTGTATATTAAAGTCCCTGTTTGCATGATGGTTTTGTGTGTGTGTGTGTGTTTTTGTGTAATGTCTACTTTCATGTGCCTTGGCACAAACTTCTGCTTGTATTCCTAAGCTGGTTATTCCTGCTGATTTCAGGAGATGCTTCCTTTTGTTTAAGGTTTCCGTTCGAGCTCCACAGAGGCTGCAGTCTGACTTCTTGTAGAGGTGACATCACGGTCAGACAGGGCGTCTCTTAAAGGGTTTTTCAGAGTCATTTTTGAAGGGTGGGAATGGCTTCTGTTACAGACATCGCATTAATGGCAGTGGTGGATGGTGGTGGTGGGGGGGGTGTCTGAGATTTATCACAGAAAGGATTAAGCACCCGTTCTGTGTCACTGTAATTGGCTGAGCCTCTGTTCCGACTGAAATGTTGCGGCGAGTTGAAACAAGAGGTGCACACGCTTATCAAAATGAGCATTTTAATTGGATTTTTAATTGCTTCCGATCAGACTGATTTGGCACCCCAGGAAAAAAGGTAAAACTTTTCACAACTTAATGTGTCTCTCATGTTGCAGGACTGACTGAATTTATTGAAAAGGGTGGGGGGAGGCGGGGGTCCAGACAGGTGTGCTGTACCATGTGATTGAGGTGTCTGGAAGTAGATCACATGGTACATTCTTCCAGACTAACACAGACACCTGAAGGCACAGACTCACCCAAGCAGCTCTTCAGGTGGAGGATCTTCAACCGTGGCGAGGGATGTATGTTCCTGACTGTGAGTCCTGGATGAACAGAAGCTTCTATGAAGTTAATGGTGGTGTGGCGGATGTTTGCAAGTGACTTATTTGGAAGGTGTGGGGCATGTCTACAAATGGCATGGTCTATTTTTGGGTGTCACTGCTTAAGCACTCCGGGCGTTCAATGAGCCGAATGCCACTGAGGAAATCAACTGACATGCTGAAATGAAATCTTTAACCTAAAGCAAATTTTTGGGGGGCTGTTAACTTGTTACATATGCATATGTGTGTGGAAAATGATTAGCTCCATGGGGTTGACAAGGTAGTGATGATGTTTTATTTTTTTTGAGTTTTGGGAGACTGTGTTGCATTGTGGGATATCCCTTTGTTACCCCTGTAGAAAGCGTTTGGCTGGTGCCGGTGTTCTGACAAAACATCCTACCTATCGAGACGTGCTATCGAGCCTTTCTGTGCATGTGCAGTTCCACCGTTTTGGGATTAGGGTTAGGTTTTAGGGGTTAGGGTTAGGTTTTAGGGGTTAGGGTTAGGGTTAGGGTTAAGGTAAGGGTTTTAGGGGTTTTTGGGGTGTTAGGGTTAGGGTAAGGGTAAGAGTTAGGGTTAGGGCTATCGATTAGCACTACGGTAGGATGTTTTGATAAAGTAGGATGTTTTTCAGAACACCGGCACTGAAGCTTACCTACGGAGCCACATGGGCTTCATCCAGCCCTGTTAACATTGAATTGAATGAGACGCCATCATCATTAATTGCAGTTCGAAAGGAAGCTGGTTATTCACTGGAAGCTGAGCCTAGCTGCACATGTGCTTCTCATTTGCTCTCTGCCTCACATGTCTGCTGCTTTAGGCTAAAGATCCCGATAAAGTAAAGGAAAGTGGCAAGGCAGCCACTGCACGCGGGTGGCCTCAGTCGTCAGCCACGTTGCTGTTTGTATGCTTGAGGCGGCACCCTAATGACCAGCGGATGGCATGGTGCCAAGCTGCTGCCACGACCAGTTACCCGTATAAACCTGGTGTCGGTGATGCGGACTCAGCCTGGGTCTGATCTGCCCTGGCTTAAATTTAAGGGATTTATTTTTCCGAGTCACATGACTAGCCCGTCGCGCTCCAGTAGCGGTCCACATTAACGAGGTGTCACCCTGTGCGAAGGAGGAGCCCGATCTCGGCTCTTAACGAGCCCGCTGCCCACACGCGCTGGCTCATTCCAGCCCACGCCTGCCGAATCCTAATTTGCAGCGCCTTGGTAGAGCCCCCACCTCACTCCCGGGGGGATTCCTCCAGGCTGGGCTAGCAGTGTGTGAGTAGATGCATCCACACATGAAATAAGCTGTTCAGCTCAAAGCAGCTGCTTGATGGGTTATGGCTTCCAGTTTGGAGAACCGGGGAGTCCGGACTGTGTGTTCTGGGTCCTCAGTCAGGGGTGTCTGATGGGCTCTAATCCAGCGGGCCTGGTGTGTGCGGGCATCACCCTCTCCTGTAGGGGATGGGCAATGCAGGTCTGAGTGCTGTGTGTGTGGGTTATGTGTATATTACATTGTGGGGACCATGTATTTTTTATTTTTTGGATGGTGCCTTCTGATTGGTTTTCCTAGTGTGCCCTCCGAGGTCGCAGGCCATTTCCGTGGGGCGACACTGTAATTTGTGGGATGGATGGAGCTGCGGTGATTAAGAGCCGCAGCCGCAAAGCCGCCGCTCTTGCTGCCTGGTGTGAATTCCGCTGTGCTCAGTCTCTCACCTGTCATGCTGTAATTAGCCTTTAGCTATGTGGAAGTGTAAGCTGGCACGATGGCTCCTGACAAGAGCATCCAAGCAAGTAGTTGGATGCTCATCCATTGATCCATCCATCCATCCATCCATCTATCTAACTTTATCCAGTACAGCAGTGATTCCCAATCTGGTCCTCAGGGACCCACAGACAGTGTTTTGCTCCCTCCCATTAATCTATCGGTCCTCAGTGACGGGATTGGGGAAGCACTGCAGAACAGAATCACTGGGGGGTGGCACTGCAGAACAGAATCACTGCGGGGTGGGGGTCGGTTCCAGACAGCTCAGGACAGGCAGGGGTACATTGTGATCACGTCCCTAATGTTTTTAGTGAACCTCCACATTCAAGACTGAAAGCTCTCGACTTGGGTATCGATCTTTGGCTGATCTGTGATGTCCTCGTCCTTGATGACACTGATTGACAGTGAGCTCTGATGCACGATCTGTGACCGCGTTGTTATGGTGATGATATCGGTCCCCTCATTTCAGCGTTGACTTTGGCTCTGACACCTGGAGACCTGGGTTCTAGAGCAGAAAGTCAATATTCTGGCATATCTTGTTCTGTACTGGATTTTTCATTTTTTTTTGCTGGTGAGCGTCTCGCCACCAGGTGGCGCACCCAGATATACCCCCTCCCCCAAACTCTATTCTTCCTCCTTGCCAGGGTTTTTGATACTGTAGAGTTGGCTGTTTAGTCTGCTGTTCCATAGTGAATCAGTGGTGTGATACATGCCCTATACTTGCATGTCGGTCAGGAGCCATGTTGAAGTTCCACATGGTCCTAAAGCCCCCCCCCCGAAGACTTTGAGGTTCCCAGTTAATGCTTCGAGGACACTAACAGAGCCATCAGGTTAGACAGGGAGGAACTCCTGGCAGCGGTTGGGCTTGATTGGCCAGGTTCCGTGAAGGTCTGGGGAGGGTTTGCTGTCCTGGGGGCAGTCTGTGTTTAGCAGGATAGATGCTCTGCCTGTGACCAGAGGGTCGCCAGTTCAAACCCCAGAGCAGGGCCCTTAATCCCAAGTGCTCCAGGGACTGGCTGACCTCGCTTATGCAACTGCATGTGGCCTTGGGTAAAAGCGTCTGCTCGATAAATGAGAGGAGAAATGCACAGAGGATGGACATAAGTCATCAAAGGAGGCTGAGAGGGAGAGACACTTTAAAACTGCTAGATGGAGGAGGGAGGTGGATTGGGTGAATGGACAGGAAATGAGGTGTTGACATTTAACAAAGGACAGAAAGATGCAGGTGTTGAATTAGCAGCAAAGTTAAGCCAGTGCAGGGGGGGTGACGCTGAAGCCCCCTGGCCAGGCAGCCAAGCCCACGCTCCCAAATAAGGGCTTTGGACACCGCAGCCTGAAAAGAGCGATCGTATCAGGTCTCTGTTCTCCTGACACATGCAGGAGTGAGGTGGTGGGGGCGGCATTAGGGAGCTTACCTCCCCTAACAATGGTAGCGGAGGCCCGGTGGGTGAGGGAGGGGGCCGACACCCCAGCCAATCAATACGGCTTTGTGTGTGCCTGGGACACAGTCCTGAATTGCTGCTTCACACACACACACACACACACACACACACACACACACACACTAGGCTGCTCCCTGTTCTACGCCCGCGGTCTCCTTCCAGCCGTGATAATGGCATGTTCAGTTAAATCAGAATATGATTACCATGTTGGGAGGAAGAGCTATTCCTGGAATCTGACCAGCATTTTCTGATGTGG